ATCAATTCCACGAAAATTTATAAAATCAAAATTATTTTTAACTATTCTAGCAGCTCGTTTTTGTAGCCTTAATAGAATGTTTTTGTTTTTGTTAGACGTAGTTCCCCACACTGAGATTGCATAGTCCATACAGAGTTGTATTGTACTTCTATAAAGAATATTTAGAAAAGATTCATTTAGTGTTTCTGCCAATTTATTTAGGATGTTAATTTTGTACCCAATAGTTTTATTTAATTTTCGAATATGGTCATTCCAGGTAAGGTTTTCATCAATTTGAAGTCCTAAATAACGGATGTTTTTTACCTCATCAATGGTTTCATTACCAACATGAATGTTCAAAGAGGAAAGAGGGCGAACATTTCTATTTTTAATTAACATAAGTTTGGTTTTGGTAGAATTTACAAGTAATTTATTAAATTTATACCAATTTGCGACATTATTCATTATTGATTGAAATTTGATATTGATATTTTCTACCGATTTGTCAGTAGTGTAGATGACAACATCATCCGCATATATGCTACATGATCCTGGAGATACATATTGTGGAAGGTCATTAATAAATAATGAAAATAAGATCGGTCCTAACACACTACCCTGTGGGATATGTTGTCCATATCCTTCAGAAAAGAAAAAGATATTTATGCCTTCGCCAAACCTATCCTAAAAGTGTTTTATATCACTTACCTCTTCTTAAAACTTCTACCCACTGTTGCATACGACTACCGAGTGCACATAAACAACAGTATTACCTTATGAGGCTTTCGCTTACATTCATTAGCTCCTGCTTAATTTCAATGGTGTCTGTAACTACCGGCTTTTCACCAAGACTACAAGCCTGATTACATTATAACAGTGTTAGTCTTAATGCCTGCAGCATGTAAGCCAATCGAAATATGCAATTCAACCTTATTGGTCAGTTCATATTGAACGCGCAACATTATGATAGTTAAGTAATAAAATTGTTTGCACTGACGAATATCTTTCAGTCAGCAACTACTAATGAGTTTCTGATCACGATATTTGCTATTTTGTTAACAATTACATCAATAACTTTCTCAATTGAGGTTTACATACACTGCGGATGCGGGGGTTTGTGTATGCAAATCACCATAGAGACACTTGAATAAAATAATATGTGATGTATGATTAAAGCATTGAGGAACGTCCATGATTATGAACATTGTAATCGTCCCATAATGAAGTTGAGTAACGGAGGGAACAGTTACTGTGAACTGTCACTGTTCCCTGAATAACGTAATGATTTCACAAATTATTATTCATTATATAGGCCTAATATTATAAGCCACTTTAACTTTTCACCCCCAAAATTAATCACCTCTTACTTTGACCACAATATACCACTCAACATTGTTTTAAGGTAATCCATTGGTTGCTTTACATTATCATTTTTAATTTATTCTTTAAAGTTTCTGTGACATTGTCTTTTTATGGGGTACCATACGCAGCAAAAGTCCATTTTGAAATCAAAATATAATTGCAAAATTCAATGTCTAATTTATCAAAAAATAAACAAAACTTAGGTCTAATTTCTCAAAACGAAGCTCTAATTTTTCAACAAAAAAAAATTCAAAATGTAGCTCTAATTTCTTTAAAATTCAGGCCCTACTTCTAATTTTTCAAAACGTATGTCTGACTGATCCAACGCCCTCTCTAAATTTGTTCCAAAACGTAAATCAAAACCACCGAAGCATGACTGGTTTGATTTACATTTTGAAACAACCCTAGATATGCGAAATGTAAATCAAAACCAGCCAGCCAAGCATGACGGGCTCATTTCATTAATGATGGGGAAATCAAAGTAGTACTACCACCAGTGACCTACACACACAGGGATAGCCTTGGCAGTATGCCACTTACCGAGTCCCTCCTTTCTCTCTTAATCTCATTGATACCATCATACTACTCAAACACAGTCCAGTCCAGACGGTGTAGGACCGTTTCTTGATGTTGGCCTATTTTAATATGGAAATAAGTTTTACTTTTTTGGTCTTTTTCTTGTAATTAGGGTCATGCTTTTGTGCAATTTCTAGCTTGTCTGTTTCTCTGTATATCGTTTTTATGTATATATTTTATGACTCTATTTACGAATAAATTCAGTCAATCAATCTACCAAATTGTTTTTTTAGAACAAAATCCTTTTTAGGTACTCCTAATTATTTATGTTTTCTATGTTTTTTATTTACATTTTAAGGAATATTTTGGTGGATTTTACACCAAAAAAATCGGATTGGTGCTTTATGATCTGGTATATGACCTAGATGTTATAAACGAATGCAGATATTTAATGATTTGGTTTTAACATGGGTTTTGTCAATAAACTTCACAATAGAACTTGAAAGGCTACAACAACATTATTTTATTGTGTATCAATTTTTCAATTGAAATATAATCAATTTGGTTAAAAATATAATTCAAGTTCCTTAAAAAAAAAGTAAACATGTTCAAAGCCTGTCTAAAAGATCTTAATCAAAATAATTTTTGAGACATATCTGCATGCAATATATCTGAATGCAAAATTTATCCTTATGCCAGATGTTCTTTTTGCTATCATCAATCAAATTTCTTTATTATTTTCATATTCATAATATCCGTAAGTTTGTTTTTTCGGTTGGAAATGGGCTCGCATTTAAGCAAGGCTCAGCTTTTGGATAGTTAAGGAATCAGTGAAGAAAATCTGCATCGTTTATATGGAAGCAAAAAGAAAATCTATTATGGTCGAGGGATACAGCCTATAAAACCGAGATTGGTGACTATGTATTACGGTACCATCCACAGACACCTTGGATGAAAATGATAGTAATAAAGATGAGGTAAGTCACAACATTCTACTAATCACAATACAGTAAGACAAAAAATAACAAATTTTTCTGTTTTTTTTTTTGTTTTTGTTTTTTTTAAATCAGGGTCTGTCAGACATTACAACAGCTTAAAATGGTTAGCATGTCATAGAGATGTGTGTAAATTTCATGAATCCCATGACAGTTTTTGAGGATGATGTTAACATATTAACTTTTTCTTTATTTCAAAATTTGATAGAATGTGTGAATTGCTACCATCTTGTTTCATGAAATGAACACCAATGCACATCAAATACATTGTCAGATGAAGGAGATATAGATTTTGGTGACAAAAATGTTGCAAAACTGAAATTAATTGCCTTTCATCTTGCAGGAGATTTTGATGAAGTCATTGCAATTCTGACTAACAAATCGGATACCGTACTCGCGCTTTCTGAGGGCGCTTATTTAAACGGGGCGCTTATGAAAACAGAATGGAAATTGAGGGGCGCTTATGGGAATAGATGAAAATCGAGGGGTTCTTATGGAAAATTTTTAATTCAAGAGGCACTTTTTGAATGAAAAGAGATTATATAAGGAAATCACGAATGGTGGATAGAAAAGATAATCGTCCAGAGAAAATAGCTCATTACAAGAATGCGTGAATATTTACATAACAGCAAAATAGCAGATGCTAGTGGTTAGCTTGTTGGCCTTCGGACAATTGAGATTAGCAGGATGGCAGGATAATTGTAACTAGATGGGAATGTGCAAGAGAAATATCCTCATTTTGATATTGACTGAAGAAGAATGTGTTTCCACTCTACATCTCAAATCATACCAACAACAGTCCCAGTATTGAATGGATTATTGACTTGCTAAAAAGAAAATATTATGGGGCGCTTATTCAAACGTGGCGCTTAAGGAAATTTTCACGTTAGGAGAGGCGGTTATTCAAACGGGGCGCTTATTCGCGCGAGTACGGTACTCTAAATATACCGTAAGCTTTCAATTATTTACAGACGTTTATGTCTGCGAAAATGTTTAAATTCTCTGGCAATATTCAAGTATAAGAATTGAGCATTATGTATAGGAGGAATGAACATAATTTGGCAAGGAATTTTCAGCTGCAGTCGCTGCTGATGCTAATGTTGATATTGCTGCTAATGCTTTTGATGCTAATGCTGCTGCTGATGGTGCTGCTGATAATCTGATGAAGCTGCTGTTGCTGATGTTGCTGCTAATGATAATTATGCTGATGTTGCTGCTGCTAATGCTACTGATGTTGTTACTGATGATAATGGTGCTGCTGATGCTGCCACTGATAATGATTTGCTGAAGCTGCTGCTGATGATGATCTGCCGATGATGATTAATACTGTTGATGCAACAGATGATGTTGATGCTAATGCTGCTGATGCTTAAGCTGCTAATGTTGCCGCTGGTGTTGCTGCTGATACTAATTTTGCAGATAATGGTCAACTGAAGCTGCTACTACTGTTGCTACTGATGCTAATACTGATGTTGCTGCTGATGTTGTCGCTACTGCTGATGTTTTTGCTGCCAATGTTTTTCATGCTGATCTGCTGCATTGCTAATGTTAACGCTGATGTTGTCGTTTTTATTATTACCTATTTTTATTATTGTCTATGCTATTATAATCATTATTGACTCATTGCTGGATAAAAACGTTTCTAAAATTATGACATTGTACGTTGTATTCCCCCAGTCACCAAGCCTATATAAGTGTCTTCCTAGGCGTAGCCACATATATAGGCCTAATTAATATTGTTTTCATACAATATTATCACATGTAATACCCCAAACTCAGATTGCACTTTACCTGCATGGACGTGTTCTTAAAATTTCTACTCATGAATGCGTACACCAAGAAATTGATCGCACTTCCGCCATACGCCACCAAACCTGACGTGATTTCCAGTACTGTATTGTCAAACGCGTTTCTCTTATATAAATTTTATATTTCAAAAAAATATAAAAAAAACGTGTAATCAACGATGGAATCCAACTGACACAAACCAGCACAACAATGATCACGACCATTCGAAAAGTTTTATCAACATGGCAATCCTTTCTGCATGGCCCATATGCATCGCCCTTTTTTTTTTTTTTTTTTTTTTTGTTATTTTTTCGGAAGATGCTTTCGCTTTCTTAAGAATCTTGGCATAGCAGTGTATCATAAGGTACAATGGGAAAAATAGGAACACAGCAAGGAGAATACACTCATATTTTGTTTGTATGAAGTATATAATTACGGCAGCTGAAAGGGAAATCCCCAAACGGCAACCAGAACATACTTGCAGCGTGTTGTAATTATTCTTCGATTCATCGGATTAATTATAACATCATGGCGATCAATAGATTGAAAATGGACGCTACTGAAGATGAGTAAAAAAAACTGTTGCTTCACGATGTAACAAAATCCTGTGTGACTACTGTGCTCGGTGATGCCAACGATCAGAAGAGGATGCAGAGAGAAAAACTTCTGTGATAATTATATACAAAATTGAAAAATGTATCTATAAAGATTAAAATTCAGAACATTTCGCTTGACTTATAAATAGTACATATCTTTAATGTTTTAGTATAGGTGTAATTACTTCATATACTGTAACCAGTTAATATAGGTACAGTACGGTAACAATCATCATTATTTTCTACAGAAATCTATTTAGCTGAAAGTGGATAACTTTCAAAATAGTCTATAGTTTAATCATGGGGTCTTCCATACGAAACGATGTTATTTGCTCGCTAGCAATCTCATCTAACTGAGGCAAAGCATACTTTCCTTGTAAAATAAATTATGTGGATTGATAAAATTCATAATGGAATTAATTGTTCTTACAAACATATGTATGTGGGGCATACTGTATGTTTAATCAGGTCAACTGTACGCACGCAACAGTTATCATAGAATAATCAATCAATTTAATCCGATCTTACTTTTCGGAATCAACTTTTTCTGCCTCTAAATTAACTTACACTCGTTGGTGCGCTGTTCAGACGTCATAGAC